GTAGACACAACCACTCAATACAATCCGAAAGCTTTGATATTATCGGGAAATGACAACTATTTTCTCCTAATGTTAAGCCGATTTGAGCCACGGATCAGATGTTATAACGTAAAAGAGAAGAAACTAATTGATGGCAACGATTGTTACGATACCTTTAAACCCTCTCCTAAGGAGTTGTTTGAGGCGATCCCTCAGTCGTGGTTTGACTCAATCCGTGGAATCGTTGCCAAAAAGACTAACGAAATGTTAGTTTTAGTCCTTTTCTATGACATCGACGGACAGTCCATGTATTGCATGAAACCCAAAAGTGACTACAATTACACACATGTATTGGTTATCAAAATAATTATAAAACACTTGTTTTACTGTCTTTTCTCTCATTTATAGTGTAAGTCAACCGAAGATTTTAAACCAGTTTTCAGTGAATGTGTGTATATAATGGATATCATTATCTGGTTTAGCGTTATATTCATTGGACTCATTATACTATTTGCTGTATTACTCGTAATTTACTGCATATATTATCCACAGATTAACGCATTAATGACTAGAGGATTAAGTAATATTGAAAACTATGTTAAAATCACAACTAAATTGTTATTAATAAACAAATTATATATTCATAGCTCGGGAGCCGTCGACTATACTAACCGTTTCGAGTGAATGGGAAGACAACATAAACCCCAATAAACCTTTGTCACTGATATTTAGATATTTAGATTTAAGTCAAATACTATTTGAAGTAATTTATTGATAATAAATTTGTTTAAAAATTTATATTTAATTTATAAAAAGTAAAACAAAATTACAATTTATTAATCAATCGTAAAAGAAGTGAATATAATGTGAAAAATAAATAAATGTTCAATAAATTCAATGCATTTAACTGTAATGAGAAGTTTTTTGAGAGATATTTGACTTTTTTAGTCGTTTTGTTTTCGAAACTTTTGATTCATTCATAGATTTATCGGTCGTTTTGTTTGGAGTCCTTTGACTCCAATCACTCGAAACCGTTATTATAGACGACTCCTCGCGGGCTATGAATACACAACATATTTATTAATTACAATTTAGTTACAATTTAAACATAGGTTTCTATAATTACTCAATGCTTTAGTAGTTAAGGCTTTATTTTGTGGACAACATTTCCAGTAAATACACAGTAAGAGAGCCGACAGTATAAGGAGACCAATGAATATAACAATAAGCCAGATAATGATATCCATTAGACTCGTTGGCAAACATTCATTAAAAACTGGTTTATAAACTTTTGTTGAATTGCACTATAAATTAGAGGAAATAGTAAAACAAGAGTTTTATAATTATTTAAATAACAAATACATATTTATATTGATAATTGTCGTCAGCAAATGGCTTTAGGCAATACATGGGCTGTCCGTCGATGCCATAGAAAATGGCAAACCCTTTAAAATCATTGGTCTTTTTATAAACAATTCCTCGGATTGAGTCAAACGCCGATTGAGGGATAAATTGAAACAAAGTTTTGTTCTTCGACTCAAACTGTTCGTAACACTTCTCTCCTTCAGTCAGTTTTGATTTATCAGATCTATGATAACAACTGATCCGCGGTTCAGATCTGCTCAACAATAGAAACAAATCCTTTACAGTTCCCGATATTATCAATGCTTTTGGATTGTATTGAGTAGTTGTGTCCACTTCTCTACCGTCAGTACAGTCGGTGACAATCGTACCATTGGTTCCAGACTTTCATATAATAGCATTAATTATAATAAATATGTTTTTAATAGCAATTGATTTGTAATTATTTCTAATAATTACTTCATAGACTTCACAATCGTAATCAATTCCTCCAAATCTGTTGACAATCGACTCATTGATTGCTTTCACTAAATTCCTGTCAATTTCTATTTTATCAGAAATGATATGAAAATCCCATTCAAAACCTTTTAAATACATAACAGATCTGTTTTGTGAATTTGAATGAAATGCACGAAAACAATTGGTTTTGATTTGTGAACAAAAGTCAAAACATCCGACGGATGACAGACTTGTTATCAATACTAGAATTAATAACATTTTATATAACTAAACACTTAGGACTAGAATTCAAGCAATGATCAGATTTAAATGAGATTTTTGAATACAATATAACGTGAAATTTATTTAAATTACTTATTATTAGAAGAATTTTGCTAATTTGTAAAACATTTCTTAATATCTCGTTCTTCCCATTCAAATATGTTTTTGATATACAATTATAAATCACTTTTTTTTATTTATTATGCAATAAATATCAATAAAAATATTTTTATTTGTAACTTAATGTTTTGATTACAGAACAGACTATAAAAATAAATATTTTACAAGTTTTACAAATGAATCTTAAATTGAAAAACCTATTGAAATATAAAGAAGGATAGCCGCCCCTAATGCATAGCTGGCCCTGCTGGCCTGGTCACCATTTAACATAATATGAATTATTTGCAATGAGAGGTCCTTAGATAAAACAAAAGACAAATCACATCAACAAATAACGTTTATAGCATAAATAACGTACAAAAAATGTAATGCATTTTTAATCTTTTAAATAACTTTTTTATCTGATATCCGAATTACAAAATTCCTTCAGATCCCTACTCCTCTCATCAATACCTTTCCGTTGATATATAATATAACCCATATATCACTCAAATAAGTTTTTAATTAGAGTAAATTTTCCCGATAAAAGTGGTCACTACTCCCGAACCCGATGTCTTAGGGACATATGGACAACATTTTCAAAGACCCCTAACAATGGTCTATCGTTCCCATATTAAATGGTGACCAGGCGAGCGGGGCCAGCGTTAGCATTATGAGTGGCTATTCTTCTTAAATATCCAACACTTGAATGCTTTAAAAGCGATTTAAATGTCAACACTTCTCGACAAATCTTTAGTTGATTTTAAAGTTTTATCCGATTTTTTGCTCGATTTCTCTACAGTTGATATAGTTTTTAAAGATGTCGTCTCTTTTCCTAGTAAAACATAATTTGTTCATTGAATACAATTTAATCGTAATTTAAACATATGTTTAAATATTACTTAATTCCCTATTCTGTGAACTCATTCTGTGGTAAATACACACGAAGAGAGCCAATAGTATAATGAGTGCAATGAATACAACAATAATCCATATAATGATAGGCATTGTATCACTCGGTGGACCACTTGTTGACAAACATTCACTGAAAACTGGTTTGAAATCTTTGGTCGAATTGCACTATAAATGAGAGAAAACAGTGAAACAAGTGATTGTTTTTGATATCTAATACATGTGTGTAATTCGTGTCATTTTTGGGTTTCAAGCAATACATGGGCTGTCCGTCGATGTCATAGAAAAGGGCGAAAACTTTAAAATTATTGGTCTCTTTGGAAACGATTCCACGGATTGAGTAAAACACCGATTGAGGGATGACTTCAAATATAAACTCGACTCTAAGGTCTTGGTAGCACTTATTCCTATCAATGAGTATCTTCTCCCGTGGCTTATAACAGCTGATCCGCTGCTCTGATTGGCTGTAAATTAGAAACAAATCCGTTGTCGCTTCAAATATAAGAGCTTTTGGATTGTATTGACTCGTTGTGTCCACTCCTATACCACCGGAACAGTTGGTGACAATCGTACCATTGGTTCCAGACTTTCAAATTATAGCAATGATTATAATAAATACTATATAAATGTTACAAATATTAATATTACTTCATATCTGACATCCCAATCGTACTTAGGTTCTCCAAATCGGTTGATAATCGACTCATTCATGGCTTTTACTGAAGTCCTATTAATTATAATGCCATCGGTTTGTGAAATGATTTGTAAATTTCATTCAAAATCCTTTGAATACATAATAGTTCTCTTTTGTAGCTCTGAATGATAGACACGAAAACCATTGGTTTTGATTTGTGAACAAAAATCAAAACATCCGACGGATGACAGACTTGTAATCAATACTAGAATTGATAACATTTTGTATAACAAAACACTTTAAACTAGAATTGAATTGTTGTTTAGAAGTGAGAAATCAGTTACAACTGAAATTTTTAAATACAATATAACATAAACTATAATTATTGGATATAATAATCTCAAAATATAAATATATAACGCTTTATAAAAGTATTGTTCGCTTTACAAAATTCAGTATCAATTGTCATATCAAGCATTTGATTAAAATGTTTGAAAGATTTTCAAATGCAATATAACGTGAAATATAATTAGTGTTGAGAGAAATTTGGTTTTATTATTTTTTTGAATTTAGTGTGTTTTATTTGGTTTTATTAATTATAACAAATATTTGGTGTTATTTGGTGGTTTATCAATATTTTTTTTAAAATTTGGTTTTATTTGGTTATATATTTTGTATGAACCAAATTAATATTATAATTGGACTTAATATTATAGACGAAACTTGTCATGTAGGAAGCGAAAATGCTGCATAAATGTTCTTTTGCATTTAATTTACCGAAAAACACTTAAATATACAAAATTATGTACAAATACTGTATTATAAATGCATAGAACAATGTTAACAACATTCACAAAAACAGGTGATATGTGGTCACATTTTACACCTTAATAACAACCAAAATTTGGGTTTATTTGGTTTTATCAATAAAACCAAATTGTATAATTTTTCAATTTCGTGTGTTTTATTTGGTTTAATTTGTTTAAACAAATAACTCTGTACACTAAATATAATTAATAATTATTCAAAATTAACAACAATTATTGTTTTGTTCACACGATTAATGCAGTCATGTGTGAAATGTCAGCAAAAGCCAATAATTACAATTAATATTAAAATATGTAATGCTTTCTGTATTCTAATAATAATAAATTCAGTCATTTATTTCACTCATTATTATCAGAACACGAGTGAAGAGGAAGACGAGGACAAGAAATATCCGCTATTCTGTGAAATGTCTTCATTTAACCGAATTTATAACTTCGGCCACAAATTGAGAGACAAATCAGTGGATATGGTTTCGTCGCAGCGATTGATTTGGATCTGCAATGAGTCCACACATGCCTTCACTGATCCCCCGCTGAAGGAGAAGACAGAAACTGGAGGTCTCGAAGACGTTATCAATAAGTTATTACAAATTAACCACAAATTCATTTCATTTGCAGACCTGACAGTTATGACCATTTTATACATACCGTCGCTTCCCGTCTGTAACCAAAGCGGCATTTATTGTAATTCAATAAACAAATCATTGGATCTGATTTTTGTAAGATATGATTCAATTTCCTCTGGCGTTAAGTCAACTCAAGTTCTTCGAGAGACGGCTGGACTAGTACGCGAGACAGGTAAGTAGTTATCACAACGTTGTATCTGTGCAACATCCAATATAGAGGTAGTTTTCATACAATTATTTAATGCAAGTTTTGTAAAGTATACTAATCGTAATATTTAAGTATTTAAAATAATGACTTGTGCATTAAATTTCACCATGTTTAATATTACAATAATTGTAATTGTATAACAATCTTTGAATAGCAATAAAATATTTTTTGAATGATATTTACATCAATATCTGTAAAACTAATCAATAATTTTATCATAAATGTCTATAGCCATGATTTTCGTCGTTTTCTTAACTATCGGTAAGTATTGACTAAATTATTTTTTTAAAATAATAATTGAAAAATATATGAAAATCTAAGTGAATTGATAGTAATAGGAGTGAGTGATGGCATTCACGCTGTTATCGGAAACTACCCTAACGTCACGGATAGTGACTGCGGAATGAGTCGGGAATCTAGGCTTTTGAACGACAAGTGTTTCACTTATCACAAAACCTCAGGACTCAGTCGTATAGCCAATGGTAGGGATACCAAAGCGGGGGAGACATCATATGCCGTTCTTATAGAAATCGAAGTACGTTCAACTAGTAATAAGTAGGTGCTAATTACAGCCACATTTATCACTCATATAATATGAGTCATATTCTTGTTTTTATTATAATAATAATAGGTATATGACCACTTGGGGTTGTGCCGGGACAGTTATTAATGAATGGTGGATAATTACCGCCGCTCATTGCTTAAGGTGAGTCGACTGTACATTAAATCGAGAGTCGTTTGCTATATTAACTGCTTATACATTTTATTATACGTAATCTCGCACCTAGCTGCAACGCGTCCAAGTACACGTGTCCGTTCACAATCAATATACTAATCGGTGTTATAGACTGGACCGCACCGAATCTGCACTACTACGGCGCCGCGCGGGTATACCCGCACCCGGACTACAAATTTAATTTGAATTCAATAAAGCCTGATATCGGACTCATCCGCGTAAACACTTCCATACCGTTTACCGATCGACTGGCCATTACTAACGTATGTTTGCCGGCCAGGGGTTTGGTCAACACGGGCTCGGAGTACGCGCTGATCACCGGATGGGGTCACACCGGTAAACTTCCAGTGTCCATGATTCGCCAAATGGGTTGGGTTCGCATTGTGGTCACCGATCCAAACCGATATCCCACTAATGACACGCGATTTATATTTGGTCACATTACGCCACTCACCTCAGGTACGGCCGCCTGCGAAGTGAGTACATGTTACGTAACTTAATTAGAGTAAGGGTGGAAGGGAGAAATGATTAGGAGGGGCGGTGGTTTAACCAACTTTCATTTTTAGAAAAAGACCACTTTTTAAAGAGTTTTATAGAACAAATAGGCAAACATTTCATTATAAATAATTATAGATATTACTACCCTAAAAACCCATAGATACGCCGCGGCTTATCTAATGAAAAAAGTGCATTTTATGAAAAAAATAGAAAATCGGCTTATCTGTGGGTTCGACTTATTTATGGGCATATTTATTCATAAAATATGTTAATTAAAAACAATTTTAATTTTAAATTCAAATAATTATATTTATTAAAATTGTTTAATTACAAAAATAATGTTATGCATTTAATCAATGCCATCAAATTCTTCATTAGATTCTGTAACATTTTTAAGCAAATGCTCCAAATTATCTGAATCTGAATTAGACGACTAGTCAATAACTAATAAGACTCAAAACGTAAACCAGTATGTCCCAAAAACTACGTTCCAAAACTTATGTTATATTAAATTCGGCTTATACATAGGTACCGGCTTATCTATGGAAACATTTTACTTTTGATATTTTATGATTCGGCTTATACATGGGTGGGCTTATCTATGGGTTTTTAGGGTATTGGGTTACCGAGATGCCAAGAATATAATTTTTTAATTAATAATTTAATATTTTAACAAATAAATCGTTACCTAATAATTATTATTAAAATTAACCACAAAACTCATTGTTTAATAATTATTCAAAAATAATTTTTATTATGCCGGACCAACCGTTAGAGTGCCCCCGGAATTGTGTTTATTATTTAGCATGTATTAGTGAATTTTAACATAAATATAAATTTTACGTTAATATTTTCCCATACTATTATTAATTTTATTTCCAACCTTTTATGATATATTTATATATTTTACTTTATATAATACATTTTATGTAATACATTTAGCAAACAATTTAAATACAAATAGTAAACAACAAGCAATTGTTAATTATTATTAATTTTATCAATAAGTTAATTTTATTAAAAACGAGATTAAAATATTACAATTAATATAAAGTTTATATAAAATCCGATTTGCAGACAAACCCACCATTTTTATTGCATAACACAATTCAATTAACAGAACCTGTAATTTAAATAACATAAACCTTATTATTAATACATTGTAAAATATATTATAAGATTGTGGACAAGATGAGTGCACTAGAATTAAATTTGTTATTTATATTATGCATTGATAATTTAAACTAAATTTATAATAATTAAAAATATTTTAACAAAATTATTAATAAATTATAGATAAAATTATTAATTCATAATTTAACATCACTGAACGTACCGTCTCCATTAGTAAATAATATATTTTATAATGGATTTATAATATTAATTATGTTATATAAATTACAGTTTCTGATAATGTTATACAATAAATATTTTTAACAATATTGAATTAATTACTAATACATAAATCTAAGTAAACCTAAAATTATTAAATAACCTAATTTATATGAAATTATTATTTTTATATAAATATTGGATCAAAAGTTATATTGGCATAAATACATCATTAATATAATTAAATTAAAAAGTTGATTGTTTAATTGAGATCGCGCATCATTTTAAAATAAAATATTTAAATACTAACTGTAAATAATTCTAAAATATGTTAAAATAGTGTAAGAACTAAATATAATTTACAATCATTGGGTCAATCTCCAAAATATCCTTTATAAGTTAGCTCATAAACAATTAAATTTTATTAATAACTAACATAATTATACAACAATATATACCATAATAAATACACCTTATTGTTCAAATTTAAAACCATTTATTTAAAATAACTGTAATTATTAATTCGATGTACTATATTATTATGACAAATCATTATTAAATATAAATTATTGGGGAGTATGACTAATCTGTCTGGTACAATGTGCCTCGAGACAAAATGGTGGAGGATGAATCGCCCTGCCCCACTCTGCCTTACCCTGCACGACTATGTCTAGGCGGTAGTTGGGTCGACCTAATTGCCGATGAGCTTAGGGTAGGGCAGGGTAGGGCAGTACATTTTTCCGTATCTCTCTCTCTCTCTCTCTCTCTCTCTCTCTTACGGTATCACTCATTTGCCGATTGCCTGCGCTGTCAATCTTGAGGACATAAATGTATGTCTTGTAGTCGCCATCGAGTGGTCGGTCGCCGATAGCGTAGACTAACCCTCTGTCGTGAAACATACTAATGAAGTGCACTTCCGATAGACTAATAGATTGTCTGTTCATATTGTGATACCAATCAATGGATCCAATGTTTGCCCACAACAGGGATGTCGTGCCGTTACTACTAATATCGCTATTAATAATATACAGCACTTCGTGAGTGAGCGGCCAAAACACACTCGGAGTGGACTTTGAGTTCAGCCATTCCGGGGGCCAAATGTGGTCAACGGTAGCGGCGGTCAGATTCCAGGGGTAGTCGTGGGGGTCAACCGTTACCTGCATTAGTCCTGTGGTCTCTCGAAGAACTTGAGTTGATTTAACGCCAGAGGAAATTGAATCATATCTTACAAAAATCAGATCCAATGCTTTGTTCATTGAATTACAATAAATGGCGCTTTGGTTACAGACGGGAAGCGACGGTATGTATAAAGTGGTCATAACTGTCAGGTCTGCAAATGAAATCAATTTGTGGTTAATTTGTAATAATTTATTGATAATGTCTTCGAGACCTCCAGATTCTGTCTTCTCCTTCAGCGGAGGATCAGTGAAGGCATGAGTGGACTCATTGTATATCCAAATCAATCGCTCCGACGAAACCATATCCACTGATTTGACTCTCAATTTGTGGCCGAAGTTATAAATTCGGTTAAATGAAGACATTTCACAGAATAGCGGATATTTGTTGTCTTCATCTTCTTCTTCAGTGGTGTTCTGACATCTGATCACAAGAAATGTCATCAAAAATATTATGAAAATTATTTGAATGTATTTCATATTTGTAAAGATTTCATTAAATAAACGACTATTTATTATAAATTATAATTAAAAACGTTTTAAAATAAATGATTGAAATGTTTATTATTTAAATCTACAAATAAATTAACAATGAATTTCAATAATAACTGTTAGTATTGATAGTTTTGTGCAAACATTTCATACATTCATGAATCGTGTGAACGAAACAATAGTTTTATAAATTGTCGTTAATTTTGAATTCATTTTCAATAATTATAGTTAACGTTATATTGTATTTAAAAATCGTATTTATAACTGATTTCTCAAATCTATTCATTGATTGAATTATCAGTTAAAGAGTTTTTGTCATAAAATGCTATCAATTGTAGTATTGATTACAAGTCTGTCATCCGTCGAATGTTTTGACTTTTGTTCACAAATCAAATCAAATAGAGTTCAAGCGTTTTATTCATTCGTAAGATTTAATCCTATTATGTATTCAAAAGGCTTTGAATGGGAGTTTGAAATGGATTTACAAACAAATAGCATAGAAATTGATAGCAATTCTGTGAAAGCGATCGATAAGTCTATTGTTAACCGATTCTCGGATCGGTCTGAATGTGAAGTCAGATATCAAGTAATAGTGATATGAATTGCATTTAAAACCCATTTGTGTTATAATTATTACTATTATTTGAAAGTCTGGAAACAGTAGATCCATCACCAACTGTTCCGGTATATTACCAGGGTACAACATAACTGATAAATACAGTCAATACGATCCGAAAGCACTGATATCTTTTTTGGACGGCCAGTGGTTCTTAATCTACAGCCAATCTATTCCGCGGTTCAGTTGTTATAATCCATACGAAAAAATACCGCCAAAACTGATTACGGAAAACATTTGTGACAAAAAGACAAATGTTTCAAATTTGAAAAGTCTTTTTGATTCAATTGAACCGATTATCACTTCAATGGTTCTCATATTTGCCAATAATGGAAGTAAGGTAATAGGTTTGGGTTTCTTCGCCGACATCGATGGCCGACCCGTGTATTGCTTACTTCCGACTATAAATGAAAACTTCACTGATTCTGTAATTATAGTTTAAGTTATAAAATATTTGTTTTAAAATAGTTATAAAACATTTGCTTTATTGTCTTTTCTCTCATTTATAGTGTAATTCAGCAAAAGATTATAAACCAGTTTTCAATGAATGTTTGCCAACGAGTCTAATGGATATCATTATCTGGTTTATTGTTATATTCATTGGACTCATTATACTGTCGGCTCTCTTAGTGTGTATTTACTGCACATATTGTTCACAAAATAAAGGCTTAACTACTAAACCATTGAGTAATTATAGAAATCTATACTAAATCACAACTGAATTATAATTAATAAACAAATTATGTATTCATAGCCACTATTGGCTCGTCTATAGTAACCGTTTCGAGTGAATGGAGTCAAAGGACTCCAAACAAAACTACCGATAAATCTACGATAGAATCAAAAGTTTCAAAAACAAAACGATCAAAAACATCAAATATTTCTCGAAAAACCTCTCATAAAAAGCATTAAATTTATTGATAATTTATTTATATTTCACATTATATTCATATCTTTTAAAATTGATTAATAAATTATAGTTTTTATAGTAAATTTTTAAACAAATTTAATCATTTTTGCTTCAAATATTTTATGTTTTATACTGTATAATTTAACAAAAGATTTTAAATCAGTTTTCAATAAATGTTTGTCAACGAGTCTAATGGATATTAAAGTATTATATGGATTATTGTTGTTTGTATTCATTGGACTCATTATACTATCGACTTATTAAATAAAAATTCTTAATATTTTAAACATAATTTTATTGATTTCGAAATACATTTAACGATATAAAGAAAATTGGCTAAAAATATCAATATTGTAAAGCTTTTAAAAACTACTGTTAATAAATCCCATGTAATATATGTAACTAAACTAATAGAATAATTATCATAAGAAATGTTTATTCAAATTCATAGATATTTGTTGTTTAAAAAATACTAAT